GTGAGCAGACCTATTGTGCCGTGGGCCAGCCCTGGCAGCGAGTACCACAAAGCCGCAAGAAAACAAGTCTCACAGATGGGATTTGTCCTAAACAAAGAGGAACAGGAGCTGTCAGTCACCAAGAAGGAGAGAGGCCAGGAAACTCGCTTTCCCAGCCCGTCAGCGAATTACCACAAAGCAGCCCATACAATGGTTTCACTTGTACAGACAAGAGCAGTTTTTCTTCTGCCTAGCTTAATTAAAAAAAAAAAGTCACTCATGCGTCCTGTTTTGAATTACAGTCAACGCTGAATATTTCTGAGGACTGTTGCAAGGCTTACTCTTTGCATGGTGGCCAGTAGCTTTACTCTTATGAGAGCACTGCTTTTCAACGACTGCAGCAGGATCTTTAGTGTCACCTACCCTTGATCCGGGTAAAATAATCCTTGACCTCTTCCTTACCCTTCCCGAACTTGCCTGGTCTAAAGATGCCATAGGTAGCTGCTGACCTCTGTTGTTTCTAAGTGCAGAAGCAGGCTGGTAACCAGACAAAAACCAGCAAGAATCTAGACATACAGCTTACATCTCTACAACAAGAGGGGCAGTATCAGCTCCCAGCAATCACAGCCAACTATGCTGCCTGTCACTGCACTATTCCAGATCATACATCCCTATGAACAATTAAGATGGTCAAGCTGTGGCCTGCTTTAAAGGTTCTTTATGCTGCCTAGCCTTGAGAGCTGATCAAGTTTTTATAAATTGTTACCAAATTTAAAGAAAAAGATCTTAATAGGATGTCATTTCAGCACATTTGCTGTCATAGGGTCAGTTCACCCCATTAAACACTGGTGGATGGCAGCCAACATCTATGACTAGAATAAACCACAGAACTCAACAAGAGCCCAAGGTATCATGCTCAAATGAGCGCACATGCAACCTTGCACAGCAATTATTTCATTTCACGAACACAGGCTGCAACCAAGCTGTTCAAGCAAGAGCTCTACCCAGCTGCCTTGGACCCACAACCTGCCCAGGTCTGTGGAATTGGTGTCACCGCTTCTGCTAGAGCCATACTACCTGTGCTGCAGAAATCCTAGCAGCAGGGTAGCCCAAACAGCAGCATAAAGATGCCAGTATCCGCAGTGCAGCACCTTAAACACAAAATCAGTGTGGATGTTATCAGGGCTTGCTGGGGAGTCAAGATCAGGGAAAGCAGTCACCTGGCTTTTTAGCAGATAAAGATCCTCATCAGTGCCATGCAAAGCTCCATAACCTCAGCATTACAGTCAGTCTATGCAGAGGAATGTATAAGCCTTCCTGATGCAACAGTGGAATTTGAGCTTCTGAAAAGAGAAGTAATGGACACCAGAAGTGAAACCTCTCAGTCAGCCTTTGGTACTTTTGAAATAGTAGTGAATTTGTAGATATCAACAGAATTTTTTGCCTTACACATTTTTGCAGAAATAGATTTCTTCAATTATTATTGGGAAAGAAGGGTCAACACAACAAACTGACCTGGCACTGAATGACACCCATTCTTATAATGTGTATAAAACATCTTGTCAGCTTTTAAGTAGTTAAAAGGCTGCTTATGTATCTATGACAAAGCTGCAGCACTTTTTTCCTGCATGCATGTGTGCGTGCACACATACACATTCCAGATAGCATTTAGTGTTCCTTCTTATTCTTCTGGAGGAGATGTCATCTTGCTTCCTTTTCTCTGATCTGCTGCCAGACCAAGCACAGGCTAGCTTTGGTTCTTTTTGCTGGTATAGCAATGTATCAGAAAAGTTCTCCTTCCTTGTTACATCAAGTCACAATTCAGAGCAAAGCAACAAATGAGAAACCCAACAAAACCCACAATAAAAAACAAACAAACAAAACCCATAAACCACAACAGCCCTGGTAGACAGAGATTTCACAGAGCAAAAGACAAGGAAGACAGAACCATGGTGCACTGTGGTCTGTCAGGGTCTTACTGTGAAAAGAAAAACACCACAGACTCAAGGAAGTGGAACTAAAAAACATAAGCAGAGAAGGGAGGAAAAAGCATTCTCAGAAAGATTATCAAAGATAAGGGGACAGACAAAACTGGTTGATTCAGTGGCACTTAGGTTATCTGTTCAGAAAATCATACTGAACAAACCTGCTCTCTTCCAGATTTGTAAACTCCCTGATAAAAGCTATAGAGCAGTATTTACCATAGCCGATATTAACTAAGACTCGCCAAATCATTTCTGCAAAGACAAGAATACCTTTCTCGTCCCAGTTTGCACAGTGTCTCCTCCAAATCAGAGCTGCACTTAAAATACTGCCAGAGTGACTCATTTACTTATGGATTATAATGGACTTTTACGTTGCCAGAAATGATCTTGAGCATACAAGGAAAATAAATCTATACATACCACAATAAATAACTTGGAGCTTGTTGACTCAATGAATGCCAAAGTAATCAAATAACATTTTTTCAAACTACTTCATTTAAAGTGAGTTTCCAGACAATAAAAGCTTGCTTTCTTTTTAATTTACATTCAATTTCAAGTTGTGGGTAAAAGCCAATATGAGGATGATGCAGTTATCCAACAATGAGAGATCAGTAAATTGAGAATTGAGATTACATTTAATAGAAGTGTAAACAAAACTGGACTCATGAGCACTACAGTGCGTTGCTAATAGGGAAGCAAAGAAGTTGGGAGGTAAGAATGAAATGGCAAAGTATGACAAAGACGATGCAGGAAGCGCCAAAATCAGTAGGGATTAGAAGAGATCATCCCATGTACATGAATACACACACCTGCTTCATTTAAGCATATGTAGGAAGCTCGAATCTCACGTTCCCTCAGAAATCATGGGTCAGACTCTTCTAAGAGCAAATCAGCATTTGAGGCTGTGAAAGCAGGTCTGAAAGCTTCGTAATCCCCAGGAAATTTACAGCACCCAGTCCGGGCTGTGATTTACCACGGCACCATGCCAAGGCAGCAGCCCACACACGACTAGAGATAAAAACCCACCCTCACAGAGGAGATATTGGCTTTCAAACACAGCCCAGCTCTCCTCTTTCACATCCTGCTCTGTCCTTCCTCCCCTCTCTACTCAGGGGAAATAACAGAACAAGTTGCAAGCATGCAGGAGATGGAAGAACCACGACGAGAAAAGGTGGTTTAGGAAAGGGAACAGACCCGTTGAAAACACAGGAGCACAACAGGGCAGAAGTGTAATCAGGTTTTAACATGTAAGGACATATATTTCCCTGTTTAACAAACCTGGCCCTCCCTGCTGGAGTAGGGTTTTCTCTATCTAGTACAAAGAAGCCAAAGGACTCTTCTGAGAGCTGCAAGAGGGCTAAGAAGGACACCAGTGGCACGAGCAGTTATACTGTTACTTCTTGTAATGGAAGCTATATGGAGTGCTTTACTGCACATTTGCTCTATAGCGCACCAGCTTTTAAGACAAATTTTTATGTTTTGGGATCTGGGAAGATATGAGGCAAAAACTACTCACACTCAGGAAGTTTTTTTCTCCTTCTAGATACCTAGACCGTTGTCCAGCTGAATGTGCCCTGCTCCCAGCAGCAATCACATCTCATCTAGCACATCGTGATGGAAAATCAGATGAGTCTTACTAATGTTCTTGAGGATATTTTTATTATATCTAAAAATAAATCTATCAATTATTTACCCATATGTTAAGTAAGAACACTCCATACTCAAGTCTTAGGTGAGGGAAGAACACCCACCCTGCTCTTGGGTGGGGGTTGAGCTCCTGTCTCATACGCAAAGGTCAGGTCAGCTTTCAATAGAGAAACGCACAATGCATCTTCTGGGTTGAATTCTCCATTTCCAAAGGACTATGCTGCATTCAGGAAAGCTTACTATTCTTATGCGCAGATTGATGTAGGCATGGTTCATTTTTCAAAAGTACTTCTACACTAAATGTCTATTTTATATTTGTCCATATAAATAATTAGATATTCACAGATGCTGGATACTTGCAGGCAGTAGATAAGCAAAAGTACATGCAGTGCCACAAGCTTTATTGAATTACTAGAAAATTCTTAAATACATTAACTACACACTGCTATTAAATATTTAACATCGATTCTAATGACTGTTTGAATCCCATGAATGATTAAATTAATTCTTATGTGATATTAATTGTTCAAACCAGGGGCCTTCAATTAATTATTGTGAAAGGTCACCTTCTAGCAAGATGCAGACTGTTATCAGGCAACACAAAGAGGGCAGCTGCAGCTCTACTCCCTACTGCATCTCCTTGCAAGAGCTGAGTTGGTCCTCCAGGGAAGGAACCAGCTACAAAAGCCTGAGGATGCAGAAGCACCACGCTGTGGGAATAGGTGCAGCTACTTACCCTACACAGAAGCAATCCTCCTAATTAACCCATACATCCCAATACTTGTAGGAGTCAATCAAACGAGTCTCTCTTGAACAAAAGCAAAGTCCAGGGTACATAGCCAGGAAAGTCACTTCAGCAAATAACACATTCATTTCTTGGACACTTCAGACTGTTTTTCTTTGATGTTTTGACATTAGAGGTTCTGCATACTATGCTAGCATGATTAAGTTAAATATTAGTTTCTCTAACAACGTTTATTTGCAAGCTTTATAAATCAATTGTACCCTTCTAACTATTTAAGAACCAATAAACAAAAGAAGTGCTTTATTCTTTATACACACTCTTTTTTAAAAAAGGGAGGACACGTTTGGTGTTACCCAAGGTACCACTGCCAGAACACTTTCATATGCCTTTGTACACGTTCCAGCTATACAACACACGCAGATTTCCTAAGCAATTGGCTAATGTCGATGTTTCGTTTAAGACAGTTGTAAGATAACATGATAACAGTATACATATAAGTTGATTCTATTCAAAAAAGGTAAATAGTAACTAACATTTCCTAATGTTAACAGTATCGTAAGGATCCTATAACCAGCCTAATGGATAAACAGCATGCCAAGTGTAACAGACATTTCTAGGATTTGATGTAGGGGACAAAAGATCTGTTTAAATTATGAGACTTGAATTTTATTAACGTTGTTGCCAAAAGTAGACAAGACATTCATAAGAGACATCACTGAGCTTTCATCTATTGTACGTTAAAAGCAGTGTTTCAGAAATCTAATTTTGCAGACCATCAGATACAGTGTGTCCTAGGTTATCTTTCCATCCATGTTTTCAGAAGCATTAAAAAAAAACGCAAGATGAGATAAGCAGAAATTAGTAAAAATATTTTTTCATCCATCAACACAGCACTTAAAAGCTATATCAAAGAAATTAAGCATCAAGTACACAAATCTCTGGTGCATTTTAAAAGGCTACCGGCAGTACCTCTCTCCATCTCTTTTCCTCCTCTTAAAAAGTCATTAAAAAGTCATTAAAAAATATTCAACACGTGACATTTAAAGAGAACATAGACTGGTTACATGAAAAAACTCAGCACTTTCTTACTTGTGTCGATATCACAAGGGTCTGACAAAACTATCAGACTGCTTTCCCACCTAAACAGGTGACTTCAAACACACTTTGTGTTCCTATCGCACATGAGGACACAAACAGGTTAAAGACTCATTGCCTGATTTCACTTTTTGGCATCAGAAGATTCAAACCAACATTTTGAGGGGTACAGTTTTTCATAACTGACAAAAGTTATTGGCTTCACAGAGATTTAAGTACTTCTAAGAAGAAAATATTGTTCCAACGTATCATCAATTGATAGCTCACCAGAGAAGGAAATAAAGTACACTGAAAAGAGGAAAAATTATTGCGAGGAAATAAAGTTTAACTTACAACACTGGGAGGCAGCACTGGGCAATGGCTTCTTCTGGACTTCCTCCTGAAAGGAATACTAAAGGAGAAAAAGAAAAAAAAGCACACAGACCAGTAACTAAGCAAACGGCAACTTAAGGAAATTACTTTCAGAGTACAGCATGCCACATAAAAGAAAACATCCCTGGGAGCATCAAAGTGTTAAATATTCTCCTTAATATCCATATTCATACACACTCTCAGAAGTCTTGTCTTTTTTTTTCATGTCAAAACCAGGTGTTAAAAAGTGCACATCTGGTCAAGGTGAAGTCTGCTTTTCTACAAACACAGGCCCTATTCTCAATTGCAAGACCTCAAATTAGACACATAAAAGATCAGATTCTCCACACCACAATGTCACTGTAGCAGGGAGCTCAGAACTGAGTATAAGCCTGTTTATGTTTAGACACTCAAGCACGGCTTCAACAATTCAAAACTCAAAGTGTGGGCTCACAGCACCACTGCACTATGAGACTGAAGCAGTTTGATAATTACTGTGCCCAGGAAAGCAGTAACACAATGCTTGCCCAACCAACACTCATAGACTCTTCTGTGATCCACTGTACACCCAAAGTCAAGAATTTTTCATCTCATTTAATACTAAATTAGAAAACATAGAGATATTTCAATTAACCACTTTGGCTTTTTACAAAGCTGTTACAGCATCAAAGCATTCCTTAGGGGAATGTCAGCAGTTTTATTATTCTCCTCTGTCTCATATTACATGGAGATGTGAGAAAATCAGGACAACTGAGTGAAATCATAACGGTCTTTGCCAGGGAAAAAAGGTCCGACAACAAAGGAAGTGGCAACCTTAGCAACCTGGTGCTGCAATCTGTGCAAAACAGGGACACCAGATATCCTCTCCTTGGATTTGGTAAGGATTAATGACCAGTTCATTACATGGAAGGTGACAACCTGCAGACTTCCACTGTGGCTGTCTTCCAATCCATGCTATTTAAAATGCACAAATGATCCTGAAAGGTGGTTACTCTTCCCATCAGCAAACTGCCAACTCACCGAGTTAATCAGGATTGTGAAAACAAGAACTGCTGGATCTCACAGCACTGGCTGGTTGACAAAGCAGTGAAAGGAAGTCTGTTGATTAGCAATTTCGGCAGCACAGGACAGTATTGGGTTCTGAATTATTAAACTTAGAGATTCAAAAGTGGCAGTAGTTTGTTATTTTTAAGGCATCAGCCCAACAGCTACCAGCAGCCTCCAAAAGAAAACTAAATATTAAGTGTTTGCAGGAAGAGAGATTGGAAAGCATGTTTATGACACCATATAAACTCCAAATTAACCCACTTCTTGAATAGTGCTGTGCAGCTTTAGTCTGCTCATCCATTGTCTCAAATGGAGATGGCTTAACTTAACGCACAGAAAAGAAGATAAAGGCACAAAGTTGTCCTGTACTAAACACCACTATGCAGTCTAGGACTCTGCAGCCCAAAAGCCATGCAAGAAGGTGAGGCCTGTAAAGCTGAGTGCCACAGAGAGGATGAATGAGGATCAGTGATTTGATTTCTCCAAATATTCTTGCCCCCAGTTGGTTTCACAACATTGGGTTTGTTTGCTCAGTGCAAGTAAGATATTTCATCAGGCAGCACAATTAAGGTGCTGAATACCTTTGCTACAACATAACTGACCTGGGTGCGTTCAAAAGGCAACTGACATCCATGGACAGAAAAATCCATTGAGTGTTGTTAAACACAAAGATACTGCCTCTGGCTCTGGAAGTTCCTGAGCTACAGGTTGCTGTAAACTAGAGGAACAGGCAAGGAAGATATCATCCCTGCTATGGGTCACTGTCAGATGTGGGTCAAGCTGAACCTCAGGTCAGGCCCTGCACAGGTGTTCTTACTTTTTTTTTTTCATTTTCTCACTGGTGAGACAGGGAACATCCATAAAAAAGTTGAGATCATTAGGTCACAGATACAGCGACACTATTTTGTCACTAGTTTTTGAGAAAAGCATGCACTTAGCACGCAGACTTGCTCCAGAGAAACGGGAGTCTCACAAAGCTCAGGGTATTTTTCAGCAAGCACCAGTTCAGTGGAGCACTAGAGGGCACCTGTGCACCACTGAAGTACCTGGCACAGAGTGCTGCTACAGCCCAGAGGAGCAGGGAGGCACCACAGCAGGATCACCGGCAGGCCAAATCACTGGCTGAGCTTGTCATCTACTCCAAGAGGTTCTCAAACTCCTAGGAAGGCAGCAGAAGTTGCCCTCAAGCAGTTACGCTGTTATACACACCAGTATTGGTTTGTCCTCAGTCAAAATGAAAGACTTGTAAACGATAAATATTTAATAGTTACTTTAATCACAGGGATCCAATACAAAGAACAGAAGCCACTTATAAGGCATTCAGGGCTACATTCATCTTTCAATTTAGATATTTACCTCATCGTCTCCCAGTGAGTTTATTTGTTCTAATTTTCTTGTCCAGTATCTGGCCTCTTCTTCAGGGATATCTATAGCAAAAGATTAAGTCACACCATCTTATTAACCAGGCAAATCTGTATTTATCACCAGGGACATTAAAACAGGGAGGGTATTCCAAGATCACACCACGAAAAAAAAAACCAAAAACCCACACTTAATTTTGAAGTAATAGAACTGTCCTATGTCAGCACTAAAATGGAAAACAAAATAGTAACACATTTCAAGGGCTTACGTTGTTTTCTTGTTTAAAGCCAATTAAACAAATGCACACTGCACAAAGGTAAGAAAGAGTAAGACAGACTGGTTCAGATTTAATTCAAGTATTAGTTTTATGAACAGCCATTTCATAATGGTATTAATACACTTGCTATATTATATGCTTGATAACACATAGCAAGATCAAGAGCCTCTTCTGGAGGCTTTCATAACCTCAAAAGAACAGGAGTTACTTTTGAATACCACATCTTAGTTATGTACCTGGTGTGACACAAATTAAATACCAAAAAAAGAGATAAGTCTCTTGTTTTCCTTTGGAGGCAATAAGCCAGATCTTTTGAGGTAATGAACAGTGTTACAGGCAGTCATATTCACATGAAAGCACACTCCTATTTTTACACCACACTGCAACTTCATTGTGAAATGAATCACAACAACCCTTTTACCTTCTGGAAGATTTACCAAGTTGATGACTGACAGCAAGTAGCAAGCATTATCACCTTTATTTTTGTAACTATTTTCTATTTCACACTTTGAAGTAATGTAGTGTCCTAATGGTTTGAAGGGAACAGCAGAGACTCCTTCTACTCAAAACTTCATCTCTCAAAGTGTGCCCTTGGAGGTGTGGATGCAGATGAACTGCTGTGGAAAGCTTAACATAAGCCAAGTTAGGTATGAATTGTGCTTAAGGAACAGAGCAAAAGCTGCACAGCACCAAGGGAAATAACCTGCTGAAAGAAAAAACATCAGTTTCCCAATACAGGAGAATTAGGTAAATTATTTAGAGATAGGGATATGTGAAATCATTGGAAAGAGCAAAAAAAGTTTTTTTGTTTAGGGGTTTTTTTCAGCCACTCAGCCTCCTCCTGACTGTAGAGTGGTTGGCTGGTCTTGCTTCCAAGAAGGTGCAATGGCTTCTGAAATCTGGCTATTCGCGGCCTGAAACTGCACCAACGCAGCAACTTCAGAGCTCACACAGGAAGGAAGCAGAGGGACTGCTCCAGGTAGACACCACCAACCCTGCAAGCCTCACCATCCCACACACTGACAAACGAGGATGAGTATAATACCAGTTCAGCTCGCTTTCCCATCTCTTGTAACTCTTTATGCTCTGAGGAGCCAAGATGTTTACACCTAACCAGCCTGTATTCCTGCAAGGAACTGTACTCCGCGAGCACAGTCACAATGATAAGCTAAGCAATGCGTTGGCAAGAATTGGAGAGGCTGGGATGGTCTCCTGATGAAAAGGTGGTTCTAAAAGTTACATCTGCTCTCGCTCCTGAGAGAAACGAGAACAGTATTTTTTGGTGGGTAAGCATCCCATTGGGACCCACAATACTCTCAGAAAGGATCAAGTATTGTTTTGCTCTTACATGTAAAGGTGGTATCTGTCTTATGTCTCAGCTACACAAACCATTATCTTAATAAGCCAGTGACCCCAAAATATCTGGGGATAATAGTGGCTAGTGTACAAGAACAGAAGCTGTTCTCAATAAGAACAAGGAACATGTCAGATTTAGTAGAATTTTAAGTTTCAGAAGTAGGTATTTCCTTGGACTATGACTGAATGTCTACACCTTTGTAAAAGAAACACCACTGTATTTTTATGCAAAGAGTCTCACCCAGACAAGGGAGATAAAACAGGCCCCACTTGAGAAAGTTTTAGGGAACTGGAAACTTAGTACATGGTTCTAGAAAACCTGCATTAAGTAGAAAAAAAGACTTTGCTTGAAGAGAGACCAGCAAAGGAATTCATTTTAACCGTAATACACAGAGCCAGTTGCTCTTTCTGATGTACAGTACATTGCTTTGTTGTTATATGCTATTAGAAAACAGGCTAAGAGAAACATGAGAGAACCTTCCACAATTACAAGAGCTGTAGAAAAGCATACACGCTTTTGATCATCGGGGCTGTGGATCACAGCTGCACAGTTTTATTAGATGAGCTCTGCACAAATTAGGGACAGCATTCAAAGGAAACCTGGACAGAATTGATCTAGAAAGAGGACATCAGTTAACTGAAGACTATCAGCACACACGGAGGACAAACTCAAAAAGGACCTGAAGCAATCCAAACATTAAAGCAAAGCCTATGGAATTTTGTCTTTTAAAGCCATCTCTAAAAGATGAGTGAAAAATAATGACTAAAGCTCGAAGTCCAAACAACTCAATTCTGGAGCCTGAAATCAAGACTAAAGAGATCTAGGAGGGATGAAGCAATGGATTTACCATAACACTGCAGAAACTGCAGTCGCTTAGGGTAGACTTCAATGCTTTCCCATAGACCATGGATTAGTGGCATGCCTAGGCATAAAGGAGCACCACACATCTCTTGGATTTGTTGTTCCTGTCTTGTATCCAAGGTGCCCATTTCATAAATGGAGCTATCAGATTTTTAGTGCAGGATTGCTCCCATCCTATTGAAACAGCTTCTAAATGCAAGTCAGAGATAAAAATCTGATACTGTCTAGATACTGGCTGCTTTAAGGACATCTCTTTGATCTTAGAGAAACTCTTCTCATTAATACTAATAGCAGTACAGCTACTGCACAACAAACCTTAACCATGAAGCACCTGGCCAATGAACTTGAGTCAAGTTACCTGCTCGGAAGAATAAAAGCCCAATTCTCATTTTATTGAGGAAGCAGGTTGTAACCATTTTTAAGTTTTACCATCCCTTTCTGTTTCTCCTCAGTCAGCTCTTCCGTTGAAGCTGGTTCCTTGTAATACAAAGAATGGAAATCCCTAGCACAGAGATCACAAACTGTCCCCTGGCCAGCTCCTACATCACTGCTCAGCTCTTATTACAAGTCCAAGTCACTCCACCACATTAACTTTTGCTTAAAGATAAGAAGCTGAACAGAGGTCATCTGTCTGGAGATCATCCAAGCACAAATACAGGCTGGGTGGAGAATGGCTTTAGAGCAGTCCTGAGAAGGACTTGGGGGTGTTGGTTGATGAAAAATTCAACATGAGCCAGCAATGTGCACTCACAGCCCAGAAGGCCAACTTCATCCTGGGCTGCATCAAAAGAAGTGTGGCCAGCTGGGTGAGCGAGGTGATTCTGCCCCTCTCCTCTGCTCTCATGAGATCCCACCTGGAGTACTGCGTCCAGCTCTGGGGCCCACAACATAAGAAGGCCATAGAGCTGTTGGAGCAGGTCCAGAGGAGGCCACAAAGACTTCTCAGGGGCTGCAGCACCTCTGCTATGGGAACAGGCTGAGAGTTAGGGTTGTTCAGCCTGGAGAAGGCTTTGAGGAGATGTTATTGCAGCCTTGCAGTACCTGAAGGGGCTACAGGAAAGCTGAGGAGGGACTGTTTACAATGGTGTGCAGCAACAGGACAAGCGGCAATGGCTTTAAACTGGATGGAGGTAGATTTAGATTGGGTATTAGGGAGAAATTCTTTACTGTGAGGGTGGTGAGACACTGGCACAGGTTGCCCAGGGAAGTTGTGGATGCCCCCTCCCTGGCAGTGTTCAAGGTCAGGCTGGACATGGCCTTGAGCTGCCTGGTCTGGTGGGAGGTGTCCCTGCCCATGGCAAGGGATTGGAACCAGATGATCTTTAATGTCCCTTTCAACCCAACCATTCTGTGATTCTATGATCTGTGATGCCAGCACAGGACTCTGCTGACATCATGCTTGGTAAACAAGAGGAGCAAGGCTGTATGTCTGAAACAAAATAGCTCAGCAAGAACAGACAGGAGATGGGCAGATCTGTATACATTAGCTTGGGGGTTTCTTAATTTCATACCAACTCAGGGTTCCTGATCAGAGAGCAGTGAGGTCTGATTGCTTCCTAAGGAGGGGAGGCAAGGGAAACGTCATGGCTGGCAAGGCAGCGGATTTGCCAGCCAGGGCCCCGTCCTACATCACCTGAGCAAGGTGAGCAAGGCAGGCCCAGAGATCACAGCCAGGTTCAACCAGGAGCACAGGTCAGCAGGCACGTCCCACAGTAACAAGGCACCTCTGAGGTCAAGCCCAGAAATCGGTCCACATCTGGACCTGGATCTATGGGGTCCATAGGTGGGCATAGACGTGGCTGTGGCTGAGGTGGGGGATCAGTGACACCCACAGCATCACCCAGGAGTGAAGGCTGAGAGCTGAGCTGCAGTGGTGGGACTCCTGGGCCCATGAGCAGGGGGTGCGGGTGGAGGTCCCAGCTGGGGCTGCTCAGTGCCATTAAGACTTAGCAGAGCACTTAGGGCACTGACACTTGCATTCACTGCACCACCACAGAAATGGGGACACTGCAATATGGGGACTTGACGAGACCGAGGAAGGATTTAGAAAATAATTTGCTGCATCTATACAGACTACTTCACTCACAGTTACTCCCTCAGGTACCTACACATGAAAGTATTCCCACTTAGACATCTCTGCCTTGGGAAAACACAAGTTTCAGCCCTAAAGCTTTTCTTAACCAGGTTTGATGGTCCTTGACATATTCCTTGCACATCACCTTGCGCCAGCTGAATTTTTCAGGTAGCAAGTCCTGGACTAGGGCATACCCCAGGTGCACACAAGTAAGAACAAGTGCTGGAAGTAACAGTCACACCTCCTTTCTTCCCCCTTTCCTACCAGCCTTCACCTGGCTTCCTCTCTTCCCAGCCCCAATTTCTTCCTTTTTCAGAGGTACGAGAATCTTCACAAGTTCTCACTGAAATAACTTTGCAGAGCTGAGTATTCTCTCTTTCTGTAAAGATCCCAAGACAAAAAAACAACAAAGCACATTTACTCCATCTGACGGCTGGATGGAGATCAGCACGCTCCCAGCCTGGGAGTGGTAAGAACACTAAAAGCATTTTCAGTTGAATTATCTATTAGAAACAGCCTGGCAGAGACCCAAACTGCTATAGTTTGGAAGCCAAAAGCATTTTTGAGTGCTCCATCCCGTGATGGACTTGCACAGAGCCACTGCACTTCTAAAATAGAGGGACAGAGCAAAGCTGCTTTTAAACAGCACAATTTTACACTTGAAAAGCAGCATCTTGGAAAGGCTGTGCCAGGACGCATTCATTACATCAAGACAACAATAGCAAGACTGTCTTCTCCCTACCAGCAAATTTTCTAAACCAACCAGGAAGAAAAGCTGTCTCCTTTCCTTGATATGTCTGTCTCGTTCCTGAGAACAGATATGATCAGTGGAGAAACATGCTCCAACTTGTCTTCGCTAACCACTTCCTCCTATGTAGAGGGCAGCTCATTGCCATTTTTAAAAGACTACCAGGCATAAAAATGCTTTGCACCCTAGGGGTTAATATCAATTCTCACTAACACTTCACTTTTCAAATGCTCACGCTTTGCTGCACTTTTATAGAAGAGGATTTTCAGTCATTCTGTTTCTGCGAGATTGAACATTCAAGAACACGAGGCTGGCAGAGGACATTAGATGACAGCCTGGCCCCAGGACCGCAGCCCATCGCAAACAGAAGGGCCCAGAGATTTGCTCTCTCCCCTGTACACCACAAGCCAATGTCACACTAACAGCACTGCTGAGCACAAAGCAAGAGCTGCCTCTGTAACAAGCAGTGGGACACATGGAGGATATAGGATATATCAAGGCCACCATAGATGTGCTCTGCCCCGTTAGAAATCTATCTGGACATTAACAATGTTGAACTCCTGGATGACCTCAGGGAAGGTTATTTTATATCAATGGGAGGAAAGACCACAACTCTCACCAGTCTCTGTTAGCAGAGAAACGATTGCTTCCCAATTTCAAGTATGGTAAACACTAAAAACAACTTCCTATTAAAAAGAAAAGAAGAAAAACCAACCAAACCCCACATACCTCTGTCTCCTTCATCACATACTACCACTAGCAGTATCAACACATTCTGCATTTACTTCAGTTTTAGCTTCTGCCAGTCTCCAGAGTATCAGGAGAAGACATACCAGGGATAAAGAATCCTGAATGTATCAGGTGGAAGCGTAAGCAGCAAACTAATCTGGGATAAATATAGTGCAAACAACAAACCAGTTTCTAAACCTCTTTACGTACACAATCACATTTTACACTGAGGACTTCAGCTTTTCTGGTTTTCAAATTCATGTATTCTCTCTTGCGATCCCTTAAAAACTTCTCCATCTGAAAAAAAAACTCCATCTAAATACAATGAAACATTTTAGATATACAGATTGAGTCAACCTGGGGTATGCATCCATATGCATCATCCAACCGAACTGAAACAGAGCCGCCAGAAATGACAGAAGCAGCAGCACAGAAGCACAGCCAAACAGAAGAAAATACTATTTTGTTAAAGCTGCTATCCCAGACCGCTGTATTTTACCAGACTCTGAAAGCAGCACAAGCTGTACATGTGCACGCGTATCGCTCTGGTTCTTGTGTATCTGCAACAGCCAGGAGATCTTCAGCTGGGAAACCAAGTGTGATACACAGCATACCTAAGTGTCACTGCAAACAAGCTGTTATTGAAACATTACCTCTACAGCAACACAGCTGCTGACTTCAGAACTTCCACAGCAGATCAATGATCCATTCACTTCTCTGTGTAGGTTTAAAGCAGCAGTTCTCAGCTCCTTATGGCAATACAGTCTTAACATGTGGGGCAGTACAAGTCCACACTGCTGTTCTACATTTAGAGGGAAACTGACCCACAAATCAAGTGGGAGAGCTGCAGAGGCAGTACTGTTAGCTGAGCTGCCTCCATGCATCCCTCCAACTCTCACAGAACTGCAAGGGCAGGGAGATGGAGCTTAATCCATCTTGCAGGGTCCTTCTTCTCTATCCTACAGGAACAGGCTGCCCAGGGAGGTGGTGGAGTCACCAGCCCTGGAGGTGTTCAAGAAGTGTGTGGATGTGGCACTTCAGGACATGGTTTACCAGGCATGGTGGGGTTGGGTTGATGGTTGAACTCTATGATCTTAGAGGTCTCTGCCAACCTTAATGGTTCTGTGATGGCAGGAGATGTTCAGTCATGGTGTGAAGGGAAGCACCACTGGAGAAGATGACATGGGCAGATCCTATCTTCTAAAGAAACATCCAACACTCCTCGTGCCCACCACCTCACCACCTGCTGTGGCAGACTGAAAATGGAGAAGATGCAAGAAAACCTGCAGCACTCTTCAAGTGAAGAGCAGCAGAAGCCTTGAAAGAGCTAACTGATGCGTCTTTTTTTTCTTGTACATTATGAAACACTGGACAGGCAGACAACTTTTCACACTCTAAAATAAAAAGCCTTCAACACAGCAGTGTGACATCCCTGCTTTTTTCAGTATTTGGCAGAGTAATCACAAGGAATAGTAATAGATGTGCTTTAAGTGATCGATTGTGTTAAAAACAGAAGAGTCACCAAAAGCTTGCTATTTACTTAACATTTTCAGTTTTCTGCATGAAATCCTACTTCTCAGAATTCCATGTTCTACAGAACATAAAATGTTTTAAAAGAATAGTTAAAATAACCCAAAACAAACAAACGAAAAGCCTCTTGTGTTTTGAGTATAGCAGTAGGGAGAAAACACACTATTACCTGAAATATTTTTATTTGCTAAATCCAGATGCTCTAACACAATGGTTTATAGGGAGTCTGTTTTCCTATATTTGAAAAAAAAAATCACTAAATTACAAAATGTAATGCAGTTCATAACATGAATTGCAGAAGAAAGCAAATTCTCTTTTGGATGCTCTCTGAATACATAGGAAGAGATCAGAACTTCATTTTCTTTTAAAGCAGAGACAGTTTACAAGCAACCATGATCTTAAGATTGAGAAGGCAGCGGCTACAAGCCTTGCCTTCAGCTACATGTGCTTTCCCCCCAGAAGCCTAAACACTTGCCCCAAAGAACCAATGTTCCACCCCACAAGGAAATGAAGTGAGCTGTTCCTCCGCTTAAATCACAAGCAATTTCAGTAATGAACTTCCCACTGACAGGGTGACAGCAGCAGTGAATCACCAGGACATTTTCATGAGGAAGAGGGACGGCTCCAGATCAACATTAGACAGCTCAGTTGTCAAGACAGCTGAGATGTCAGATAGCTTTTCCCCGTTGCACACCGAGGTGTAGTCAAAGAGCAGTGTCTTATTACACCCATAAAACAAGGCGCTCACCCCAAGTTGCGCCATCCAGCCAACTGCGCACTCAAAACTGTACACCCAGCTTAGTTCCCAGAGCACAAGATACCATTTGTATTGATTTCAGTGATGCAGAGCCAAAGCCTGCAACCTGCCTTGCACCAGGAAGGTGGCAATGAGACCAATAGATGACCTAACTCTTGCCCACAGCAGATGGCCAATCGTGACAGCTGCTGGCCAATTGCCCAAACGTTCCACCAGTGCTTAGAGCACGATACGAATTGCTCACATAGCCAGGGGCTTGGCAGCAAAAAAACCAAGCAACAGGCAGAGGGGGAGATGAGCCTTGCAATGACAGACAACCTCAAAACACTTCAGTGCCCGCTGAGGAAAAGAAATGCTGCAAGCCCCGAAAACATCATCTTTGTTCTTGGTCCCAAGAGTCAGCTAAGAGCTGGAAAGAGACACTATATCAGCCTTGGATGCATTCTGGTTAAGCCCTTCCTTTGGGGGTTTGTTTCTTTCTTTGTTTTGGGAGTTTTTGTTTGGATTTTAGTAAAATAAAATTTAAAAAATCACACACAACTTTACTTGAGATGGGTTCGCTCTAATTAGCTACTTTTCCATATTCTGTACTTTTCAAACCCAGGTAATTGCCAGAAAGGCAGTTCTTCTGATGACACCAAGTTATTTATATACTCTGCTAATGATAATGTTCAGGAGCACTGAGCATTAACGTTTCACAAAATGAACCGTACGCTTCTACTAGGGTTTAAGTGCACCTACCCAAACAGCTCTAACAGCACACTTGACCTCTTATAGAGCCAAATTTGTCCAGATACAAAGAAATGAATGTTCTCTGCTCAGGAACAAAATGTCTGACTGCACAATCCTGAAATAGTACGAATAGTTTAAACTGCTGCTAGTCTAAACATTCCAGTGCTCTGAGACCACCAAATCTTCCTTATTTATTCTGATCTTGTTAGAACGAAGCCAAACAAGAAATGAACACCAGTGATTTAATTCACACTGAACTATTTCAGCTGAGCTGTGAATGAGCACAACTTGATTATAAAACCCAAGTTGCTCCCAAATGCTTTCTCTCCACTATCACACCCTGGGCAAGTTATTGAGAGGCACTCACCAAAAGGTAATTCGAATCTTGTGTCCAGCAAAATTTTATGAGGAGTCGGGTTTTTGGTTCCACAGATTTCATCATGTTTCATTACAACTTCTGCCTCCAGCGTAGACCACTCCCCGGGACCTTCCTGTGAATCACAAGCCATAGATGAAGTTTCAACCCTGGCAGGTCCTTATGCAGCAACTCTCACACATTTGCTAAGATAAAAGACTCCAGGATGAGCCTTACAGTATTATCAAGACCTAGTACCCAATTTTAACATCAAATAACGTACATTCGGCACACGCTGGAAGCTCTTCTTTCAAATCCCAAAGGCCTTTACCAAGACAAGCAGCAAACACCCACACTGATGCGCATCCCCACTCTTCCTTGTATGGAAAATATAAGCTCTTTCTCTCTGCTCAAATTCAAAAATCTTTTAAATAAATGTCCTGAAATTCGAGGTATAAAAAAACCCAAATATGTCCTGCTTTGCTGCAACAGCAGCCAAATTCAGTAGTTCAGGCTGTAACAGGCATTGGCACACCACACTGCGTTTTTTCAGTTCATATCAGCACCACTAGACACTCTTTAAGACTGCTCCCAGAAACTGTAATATGATGTATGCATGCTCTGAGCTGACCTCAAAGGCCAGCTTGTCTATTATCAGGGCACCCTCTGTCTTTAGCAGGAACTTATACAAATCAGGGCATCAGACTAAGCAGTCAGTTCTCAAGACTTCAGACACTTGTTCATTATATGTATTCCTTGACAGATTAAGCCCAATCTTCTGAGTCCACATGAGCGAAACGAGACCAAAGACACCTATTGTATTTAAGCTCAGTTTTGGTCTCACTATTGGCAGCCTCCTAAAAAACAAACAAAAATACCCCCAAAAAACACCCACAACAATGTGATGCCAACCGCCCTCTCCCCTTAGCCAGCCTTCCTGACTTTACACAGGGAAGCTCTGCTGAGGAGCACAGCCCTGGGCTGCACCTGGCCAGGTTTGTAACACGTTAACTTTCAACATAGGAGCTGTTCAAAATGAAGCTCTGTGTCAGCTTAACCTCATCAGATTGGTGAATGGCCTTCAGAGCAATCCACACGGTCCCAACCAGGGTGTCCCAGATCAGTCCTTTGTTCCATACTTCAACTATTAGGCCCAGGTCCAGCCGACTGATCTCACTGCAAGAAAACAAAAGGCAGCAGAAGTGAGGAAAAAAAAAAAGCAGAATAGAAGCTAATTCTGCTTTAGGTTCTGCATTACCACCATGATTATTACCAGTGAACTCTTCACACAGCTGTGTCAGGCCACAGAGAGCTTCTGGAAGCATGCATTCGAGGCAGCTCATACTCACAGGGAACACCAGTTTCTCATGACTGTGACATCTCTCACAGTTTAACTACACAAAGATTGCAAAATAAAACCCTGATCTACCTCATGCATGGACTGCCAGCTGGGAACTTGACTCTGCAGCTATGTACACAGGAGGAGGAAGTGCATCTTCGGCCAAAACCTAGAGGTGAGATCTTCTTTGTCATCAGGCACCCCATTTCTAACAAAGTGGGTGTCTCCTTTCCCTTGGCATGCAGCAACACAAGCACACTCTGGCAGGCCCAAACATGCCAATACTTATGTGTGAGTGGAGCTGCTGCATGTAGAAAATCACAGCCCCATACCCAGCACGGCTGTATCAGCAGCACTGCCTATTGCTCAGGGGTGCATCCCACCACTTCTGCCCCAGCACTGACTTCTTCCTCTGCATGACACCACAAGGCTTTGAGCCATGCGAATCTCTGGCAGCAAGCAGCAACACAGCAGTGTGACCACCGAGTGCCAAGTTCCTAGAAATACTTCTCTGAAGGTTTTCAACAACATCTCTGCCCTCAGTAAGAAAAGGATGCCTCTCAAGTTTGCTCCTTCTCAATGCTTCATAGCATTATAATGTGCCTGCTTAAGAACGGCGTAACATAGGCACAGCCTGAATGCTGGTAAAAACAACGAAGTAAAGAAGCCTGAGCTGTGTGCTGATACGCAACCATCTCACGCTCATGAAGAACGGCTGTTGTTCCTACTTCTCTGAGCCCAGGACTTTCCCCTAGGGCAACCGCTAATCTCCAAAAGTAGGTATCTTGGACACATAGTCCTTCTGTCCAGATGTATCCACATTAAGTTTATCAAGGGAATTTAAACGCACATCAGTTGCTCATTTCTACAGGCTGCCATCATGGCCAAGGGGAAAAAAAAATAAGAACTGCTGCAAATCCTAGCATCTACTTGAGCTTTTCCCCAGAGACTTCTTACAACTTTAAAAGAGAATATTGTATCTACAAGACTCAAGACAAACCCTACAGCTACAGCATAGGACATTAATATCTATTTCAAACCCAAGCGCTTCTGTTCTTGTTTAAAGACACAGGAACTGAGGTCAGGAGTGCCCAGTATTGGGTGACTCAGTCTACATAGTTCAAAATCAAGCCATTACATGGGCTTATCAGGAGTTTACTGCTAGGACCTCGAAACTGAGCCTCCAGCTCCCTCTGTTTGGATATGGCTAATCAATACAGCCAAGCTAACAACCACCTACCTGCACCATCGCTGCTTTGCTCTCCCACTGCTTGCCTCGTGGAAGACAGTATTTATCTGACTGCACGAATTCACAATAACAACAGAAATGACAGATTTTCTGCTGGCTGGACTAACGTGAGGCCAGAAACGGAAAGGAAGGAAGAAATGCTGTATTTTCAGGCACTCTGCAAAACCACATTCTTCGTTTCAACAGACAAGACAGAGCAAGACACTTATCATAAGACAGCCAAGAGGCTTCTGTACAGAACTCCATAGGACAGGCCACTGGATAACAATAAGAAATACAAAGATTTTCAGTACAGTGGCTTTGATTGCTTTGGTGTCTCCCTTTCTCCACCTTCCGGTTAGATGCAGAATAGCTTCAAAGAACAAAAGAGCTGAGATTGGAATTTGGTGTCACTCTACACAGAATTTAAATTAAAGACATTTCTGACAACTTCAACACTGATTTAATCACCACGTTCTAATCACCAGTTTGGACTTTCACACAAAAGGTGCTTGCTGCAAATATGGAGTTCTTTTAAAGCTGCTTCATAATTAGAAGACATCCTCAAAGAAGACATTAAAGTGCTTTACTGGTCTGGTGAATAGGCACATCTCAAACCTCCTCCGAGTCCCAGATTCTGAAGTGTTATGTCTCACAAGGAGTTTTGAAGCAAAAACAACAAACACACATAGAAAGCACTTTCTTGGTTGCAGTCTATTCTTCAACTATGCCTGGTGAAAAAAGTAAACACAAACACAGACAGTAAAAGCATCCTTCCCTCAGGGAAGAAAACTACTGTGTTCAAAAGCCTTTTCCAACTCCAGACAGAAGAGCAAAGCAGTGAATAGCAGTACTGGAATATCAGTGTTATTCCTCCTGGGACAACTTAATGCACACAGGATCACACAAAACACGTTCCCTGACACGTGCAGTATTTCTGTGATAAAGAAACATCATAACAACTGTGCTGTTGCCTGGCTAAAGCAGGGACAATAATGGCGAGGTAGTTCAGCTAATATTCTGCTTTCATATTCCCTAGCAACTAATTACAGAGCGGCACAGTGACCTGACAGCAGGCTAGCTAAGCTCCCAGCTGATACCAGAGAGCAGTTCCAGGAGCTGTTTGAAGGGAAGGAGGAGGAGCAACCGTGAGAGACATTATCCAACACAAACAAGTGCCATTCTTAAATCACTGGTGAGTAGCCTCCTCTGTAGCTGGCCATGTTTAGAGCTAGTTCCTGTCCACAGGCTGAACACAAATCACAGGAAGAATGAGTTAGTAGTTTGGGTACAGGCATGTGATTTGGCAGACAGATACAATTCCTTGTCCCAACCTTACCCCAGTCCTGCATGGTTTACGTCAGTGATAGCCACAGCCTCCGTCGCACCAGGAACTGCAGAGCTGAGGAGATGGTGGCATTCAGGAACACATGTGCTTCACCAGATGACAAAGATAACAGGCTACAGACTCTCCGTGCAGAAGCACACGCCTCAAGTGCTGCTCCAAAAGCAGAGCATCACAATAAAAGGGAAATGGGAGGACAGCTATGATGGCAACACTCTACTGACCCTGGTGAACTCCTCAACCAGAAGCAAAAGCTTCCTGCTTTTGGCAGAGGAGAATGAGCTGCTGCTGGACTGGGAAACACATTCACAAAATCCCTTGTGGGTCTCTTGTTATGAGTACTATGAAAATGCCTCAGACCTACTCAAAACCTGCAGCACTAGCTTTGACCACACAAGTCGAACACATCATTTTACACACAACAGCAGAGTTCACACTAAGTTCAGAGAAAGGCTCTTGGAGTCCAGGACTTAATAAGTTTAGTTCACTTTGTCTTACAAAGCTATAGAAACAGAAGCAGATGCAATATATCAATGAGCCATTCATCTGTCAGCAAAAAACCTCACCATTCTAAGAGATAATGGGAAATCCCTGGCTATACGTCAGAATTGTAAGGACCAGATCAAATCACGGGTGCCAACTGCACTAGAAATCCTGTGAGAGTTGGAACTGGTTCTGCTGCTCATGGTAGGGGATGGCAGCCCCTCAGGTTGCAGCAGGGGAGCTGGAAAACACATCTATGAGTATCAGGCCAACAGCAGAAAACATCAACGCACAAGAGCAGCTTCCACATTGAATTAATCAGGATCACCGTGCCAAGGCCCTGAGAGCACTGACAACAGCCCTTGATTTCCCTGACCAGCCTCAACAGTGGCCTCTACCCACTCCCTCTTCCTATGGCCCAGGAGCTCCATTTAAGCTCAGCTATGGATCTTCAGTCCTTGCCTAAGCTATGTTGCCAGTGTACTTGTCTCCAGCTTAGCCGCAGCTGTGCCCATGCCTGGCTATGGACCCCATCAATCCAGAACCAACCCGCAGATTGACTTTACAGCTCAACCTCAGACTTATCTCTTCACTATGGACCTGACGGGCAATCTGTGGACTATGTCTGACCGTGATCATCATTATCAGACACAACCCTGAGCCTAACTTGCTATCGTGCACTCCCAGCTTGACCTCGTGACACTGGCAGAGACAATCTCCTTCAGCACAGGTCAGTGCATACCACAGAAAAGCAGGTGATTTGGGTTGTCACCAGGCTTGTGCATTTTACGTAAACTACTCCAATTTATACAGCGCAATAGCACCTCCATATAAACGTCAGTGCTGTGGAAGGACTCAAGCACAAGCATCTCATTGCTGTGCAACACCGTACTTACAACATGAAGTCCTGTTCCCAGCAGGGTTGGTCACCTCGCACAGCTACCGTTGTGCTCTTCACATTTTGCACTTTCAGGGTCACATATGTATTGAACTTATCTGCAGAATGAGAGGCAAAAAGTTATCTCCTTCAGTGTACTCTTTTCTATCACATAAGCATAATATTTCAAGGTTTTCAGTCCACATATTGCATCCCAAGAGAACCCAAAACCAAAAGCACAAAAGAGAAGACATCATTGGATTAAGGAGCCAAATGTTCAAGATGTTTTTCATCTACCATCAAATTTTCAATTATAGGCTTTTAGAAATTCATGCACAAACAAGAACAGGCAACTAAGCCCTTGCAGAAAGTTAGGGACAAAGAAACTGCGTAAAATCCTGAAGAACACAGACACTCAGTGTGCAAGACACTGTTTAGTGAAATGCAGATGAGGAAGAAAGAGATGGTCTGAAGGATAGGGCCAACCATGCCGAGCTTAAAACAAAGTTGCAAATCATACAAGCAAGAAGCAGCTGGGCTGATCATGCCATCTCTTCCCTTCCAACCCAACTGCTCTCCTCATTCCACCCTGTTTTTCCACCTGTGAGTCCACAAAGAACTTTACAGACCAGTCAGGGGCAGAAGGAAAATACAGTGAATTATGCTGAATGTGCTAAAACTGACCTGTATTGCTCAAACCAGCTGACCTAGAAGAGCCACATTACACTGATACTTTGACAAGACAGGCTTTGTTTAGATGTTTTGCCTTTTTTTTTAATCTGAAGAAAAAGCATAGATAACTTTTTTCCCTAGTTGCGCCTACTTTGCTATTAAAACCAAAAGCAGCCAAGCAGACACATAGGAAGTTTGAATATCACCATCTGATAATGAACAGACTTCCTTTCAAGAGGAGTTACCACCTCAGACCTATCAATTTCATCAAGCATATGCTAAGTCGCTAGAAAGCAGTGTACAAATTCTAATACTTCAGCATTCTGCTCCCTCTATTCCCAGCATAAGTTAGATCACAGCCCATTTTAATACTGCCAAAATTTCATATGCATCATTGCTGTGGGCTACTATAGCACATCCCAGCAGCTAGCTTCAAATATCCTAATAGAAAGAGAGGAAAGGGAAACGACATGATCCAGAAGCTCAGGAAGAAGTGGGAGTCAGTGCAAGTCAGATTCACTCTTTATCTAACTACACCACCTGCATCCTCCAGGGACATTGGGCTTGTCAGTGAAACTGTACTTGGTTGAGTTAAACCTAGACTACAGGACAAATATTTGCACCCATGAGTAGGCTCCTTGATCAGAAAAAGGATAAAGTACACACTGTCTCCCTTCCAGTCTGGGCACAGTGTTTTCTTTCCCTGGAAATTCAAGGTTGGTACACAAAGATCTTGACCCGATATGGAAGAGGAACAAGGTGACCTGGGAAGCTTTCAACTATATCCTGAGGATGGCTGTATCAAGAGAATAAAGCTGAACAAATAAGTAATGAATACAGCTGTGCAGTTGCTTCAGATCCAAATACCTGAACAGATGTTATTCCAGAAGCAAACTACTATTTCTTTTGAAGACTATGCCTCAAACATATCTACCTGCTAAGGGATTCCTTGCTAACTACTAAAAATAATGAAATAGTTGCCTAGACTGTAAATTCTGGGTACCACCTGCTGTTTCTTTTTATTCTACTATGCAGACACAAATCCTAGGGGATAGTATTTCAGTCACAGCCATTATGGACTGCCATGTAAGAGAATGAACCACTTCTGCAGTACCATCCAGCAACCACAGAATGGTAGGGGTTGGAGAGAGCTTCTGAAGACCATCCAGTCCAATGCCCCTGCCAGAGCAGGATCACCAGACCAGGTTACATAGGAACGCATCCAGGCAGGTTTTGAATGTCTCCAGAGAAGGAGACAACACAACCTCTCTGGGCAGCCTGTTCAGTGCTCTGTCACCTTCACAGTAAAGAAGTTATTTCTTGTATTTAAGTTGAACCTCCTATGTTCCAGTTTGTGACCATTGCCCCTTGTCCTGTCTCTGGACACAACTGAGACAAGTCTAGTCCCATCCTCCTGATGCCTGCCTTTGAGATATATATAAGCATTAATGAGATCCCCTTCAGTTTCTTCTTCTCCAAGCAAAAGAGACACAGCTCACTCAGCCTTTCCTCATACAGGAGATGCTCCACTCCCTCAATCATCTTTGTGGCCCTGTACTGGCCTCTCTCCAGTCATTCCTTGTCCATCTCAAACTGGGGAGCCCAGAACTGGACACAATATTGCAGATGCGGTCTCACCAGGGCAGAGTGGAGGGGAAGGAGAACCTCTCTTGATCTGCAACCACCCCTTCTGATGCACCCCAGGATGC